TACTAATATAACTTTAGCATGTCGTTTCACCACGTAACTCTCTTGTAATGTGAATGGTAATTTTGTCTTAATGCTGTGATTTGATAGAAGTTGAAAGTAATGTATAAACATTGAAGTCTATCATTGCAGAAAGTGTTATGATCAACCAGTGGAGGCGTATTACTATGATTTGCTGCTGAAAGCAATAGGGGCAGACAATGACTGTATGACATTTCTGGTTTGCAATTAGTACCAAGTTAGAGTTGTTTCCAGGGAACACTCCTAGAGTTACTTGGAAATTTTAGAAAAGTATGGCACCTGTAAAGTTAAATATTACTGAATATATTCAAAGGATTTTTTGTGGCTAAAATTTGATCTTTTTTAAAAAAAACAAGTGTTTCTTTTGGAAGGAGACACATGACACAACTCATGGAAAACAAATGTAGACACACATAGACAAACATAAGTAAGACACACGAAGATGCACACATAAAAGAGTTCAGGTCATAAAGTCATAAAGAACAATCCCTTGATCCAGGTCTTGAAGAACCAGCTCATTACAGTTGTAGAAAATCTGCAACCAAAGCCTCCTGATTGTGAAAAAAAATTGAATCACCATTATTTACAGTACTGTGTTCTAAAAAGCATTACACCACAATGTGTAATATATGATACTATCTATACCCAATGCTGCACAGCTGTCGAATTTTTGAGATAAAGTATTTCTTCAAGACCTGAAATCTCAAATTCAAACAACCCACCCACAGTTGTCAGGGCAACCACCACTAGCCATTGGTCAGAGGTGGTAGCCATGGTAAAAAAATACAAACCACTGGGATGATGTCATCAGGGTAGGTGGATTACTATAACAACGAGTAAGCCGCCATGCCCCATTCATCACACTTGCATACTGCAACACCCAATTGGCACTAAGGCTTGGGACCAGACTATATCGCTCCCCATGGTGGGATATTTTCTTGAGCATGGCTGCACATAACCACAGCCAAAGCTCACACTGGCTAGTCACCATCTGACTACTATAGCAGACAGTCAGCCAGTGATTTCTGATCATTACTGCAGAGCACTGAGGGAGGGACATTCTGAATCCACTCACCACCCTAACTCAAAGCACAAAGCAGTTGCATGAATTGCTCTTTCCAGTGAGGAGGAATGAGCTGTGTGAATGGGGAGAGGGACAGAATGCTAGGCAGCAGGTTAGTAGCGTGAATGGTACATGGCAGTGTAGGTTGGCTAGCATTGTTATACTGATCCACCCACCTTAATGGGGATCCTTTGGGTGTAGCGATGCCGTAGCCTTTGGAGTCCAGGTTTCCTCCCACTTTCATGGTGTCGCAGGGCTTCCTCTGCTCAATGTATTCATTCATGGTGGACTCCAGCAGGTAAGCATACTTCCCTTTGGACTTCCTCACACGGAGAACACCTTCTGATGTTTTCTTGACAAAGACCGACGGTTCTGCTGATTTCATGTACTGCCACATCTTGTCAAACAAGGCGATTTTTGAACGCTAAAAACAGAATAGAGCCTATTACAACTTAATTTGAACATCTGGGGTACCATCTTATACTTTTAAATACTAATATGGTCATTTATATACCAAGTTGCCACTCCAATGTTTCTAACAAAGTGCACAAAGAGGGCACATCGTGAGAAACATCAAAAGGAGAGTGCTGCTATTGTTGTTCTTTATTTTTTTTTTGCATGGGCATGTTATAGGGAGTTAGAAGATATTATTTTGTTTAAACCAGAAGCTTAGCAAAAACTGTTAGACTGTGGACACATGCCATACTAACACACAACATGATCCCTATCCTTTAATTAATCTCCTTTCTTGTGAGTCCTGCTTACATCTAAAACTATAGGTTGCATTTGTGGCAACCTACTTTCTATTAGTTTAAGAAGCCCTCACCCTGAAGAACTCCTTAGTGGATCCAGAGTCCAGGGTTCCATATGCTATCTCTGTCTGTTTAGCCAGGTCTTCAGCACTCTCAATGGGAGAAACCATCCTCTCCACAGTCAGAAAGGCAGCCAGGTTGGCCGTGTATGATGAGATGATGATCAGAGTGAAAAACCACCACACACCGCCTACTATACGACCTGACAGAGACCTGCACACACACACACACACACACACACACACAAAGAGAGAAAGAAAAACAGCCCACAGTATGCTGTTATTATAGTTATCAGAAGTGAAATTCATGGGCATATTTATTTGAACCTAACTTGGGAGGTTCAAGTAAATATGATAATTGAAGGCCTTGTTAAAGAGCATCCCTGGTCTCCCTAGATAAACATTATGTTGCTTTGATAAAAGAGAACAAAAATCCTTAGTAGTTTGTGTAACATCATGCAAACTGTTAATACATTGTTAGTTATACTATTGAAATCCCTGTCTGAAAAAATGGACTGAACCACCAAAGTCTATTGTTGAGTAAGGTTAAAAGGCTTGATTTTGTGTTCTTACAAATGCCAGTATGACTTTAAATGATGTTATCTTACTTGGACAGAATATCAAACTTTCACTTTTTCTTTGGAGAAACATAGAGTCTTTGTCTTAGCTATCTATTTATTATATGAACAATCTACAGATGTAAACCATGCCTCAAAAACAACAGATCTCAGAAGACTTGCCATCAAGAGTTGTCAATTTGCAAAAGAAATGATTGATCACTTGAATTGATCAATCTACAGTTAAGCAAGTTGTCTTTAAATGAAGACAATTTAGTTCCTTGGTTATTAAAGTTGCCCAGTTGACTTTAAAGCACAATGCAGGAGAAATCCAAGAATAACTACAAGACTTAAAAGATGAATTGGAGCATGTTAACATCTCTGTTCACAACTCTACCATATGCACAGTGTTACAATGAAGCACAGGTGAGGTTTATAGCATAGGGGCCCTGACCCGAAACCAACAGAGATGCTGTGCAGTGAGCTGAGAGAGCTCACAAAGATATTTACGTGTCTAAGAGCTGAAGCAGTTGTGTAGGATGATGGTCATGCAGGTCTTATGGTTTTGATTATTGGTGCTGAAGGTAGTTTAAACAATCGTCAATTCTAAAGGTTCACTTACATTTTCCACCAACACAGTAAATGTTTAATGGACATATTCAATAAAGGAACAAAATATTATGACTGTGTGTAATTATCTTAAATATTGTGCTTCCGAAAGACGTTATAACTATATTGACACTCAGTCTACACTCTACACCAAAGTTCTCTTATAGAGCAGTCCAACTCTAACAATTTCAGAAAAAAGCACCTCTGACAGAAGCAAACCATGTTTATGAGAAAAGATCAGAAACTCATTGATTCATACTGAAGGAATGTACCATACCAACCTTGGTGAGATGTCACAACCTTGCCGCATGAAAGCCCCCAAAGAGAACCAAAGGGAGTTAAAGATCCCAAACTCATTGGTGGATTCAGTTGTTAATGGCAATGCTCCATCCTCTGGCTCCTCTAGTGTCCACTCGTAGGGGCTGAATCTGGATACCTACAAGATAATATTAGTATTTAAAGCTTTGATTTTCCCTGTTGCACTTTACTTAGATGAAAACATGCTCTGTAACTTTGGTAGTGAGGTGTCATACAGAAGAATAAACACTAGATGTGTTGACAAAAGTTAAATGCACAGACAGCATGAAAGGTTTATTCAGTCTCACTACATAGAAAAATAGTGCTGCTAATAATTGTATGAATGAGTGTGTGAATGGGTGAATGGCAAACAGTACTGTAAAACACTTTGAGTGGTCATCAAGACTAGAAAAGCTCTATATAAAGACAAACCATTTACCATTTACCATTTTACATGACGTCTGACAGGCAGGTGTGTATTGGTTTGGTTTGTGAGTCTGCTGTATGTGAACCAGCTTCAGGCCCAGCTGCTGTGGCAGAATACTACAGTTTTTCTGGTTTCATGGGTGAAACTACATCCAGCCACATATCTTTACATTCAAAATATTTGGTATAGATTTAGACAACACAGTTTTTCCATCTCAAATAGTGACGCATGCAGTTGCAGCAAGAATAGATAGAGAAAAGATCTGATATTTAGTGATATTTTAGCTAACTTACTAATGCAGTTTAGTGAGGTAGCAGCCCTGCACAACAATGTAGGAAGTTTCCCTGGCATAATACATACAATACTCATATAGCCTACATTCATCCCACAGCCATCACATACACACAATGCAGTTGTGTCTCTCTATCCACTCAAGTTATAAGCATTACTATCTCATTATTCAAAAATAAAAAACAATGATAGCATGTTGTGTATCACCACATGTGGAACCTCTGACATCCTGTTTAGTGGGAAGAAAACACATTAATACCCACTTAACAGGCTCACTTACCAGAAAGAGTACAACACTAACTCCTATATAGGCAAAGACAATGCACATCCAGATTTCATAGGCCAGTGGGTCCAGAAAGGAGAAGACTCCTGGTTTGGATTTCTGTGGCTTTTTGATCATGATGGAGATCCCCAAAGACATGAAGGGTTTGGAGAAATCTATCACCTCTTCACGAACCAAAGTGATCGTCAGGGGAGCAACAGCAATGTCTGCTTTCTGTTGGAAAGACAAACCCAGAGTGAAACTGTGTGATGGTGCGATCTCTCCAGTCAGCTGTTGGAAAAGATGCAAATAAACACACACAACAAGACCAAAGTAAGTGTAGAACTTATTTTCTATATTTGGTGTGATGCCCCATTGTTCCAGGCTACAGAACCCGCTTAATGTGCCCACAACCTCCACAGAACATCATCGATTCATTTAAAACGTGTGCATAGATGTTTGTTTGTTTTGTGTGAACCGTAGTTGTAATAGATTTAATTTGTTTCAAGCACATCTTGCTTGGACTCCCTCCTTGTAATACTACCAAAGAA